AGCTTTGTTAGGTAGTCCAGGTTAGGTCTGAACTCATTATTATTATTGTTGTTGTTATTGTTGTTGTTATTACTATTACTGAGCTTTACATTTTTCTCTGCTCCCCTCCTTACTTCTTCCCTCCCCTTCAACCTTCTCCCAAAGCCCCCATGCTGTCAATTTACTCAGGAGATCTTGTCTTCTTCTTCTTCCCATGTAGATTACATCCATGTCTGTCTCCCTTGGGGTCCTCATTGCTGTCTATGTTCTCTGGGACTGTGATTTGTGGGCTGGTTTTCTTTGAACTCTTTACCTTCCACTCCAGCTTCTCAAGTGCTGGGATTACAGGTGAATCCCAACATGCCAGATTCCATTTTTTAAGATAGTGACGATATGTTGCCCGGACAGACTTTAACTTTCAGGCTCCCCTCCGTCCCTTGTCACCCCCCTTATGAACACGTCACCAGGCTTCGTGCTTGAGGTTTCTACCCTGGAACTTTCTATCTCAAAACACACCGAATATCCCCGTAGAAGGCCCTTGCTCACAGCCAGGTCAGCCTAAGGGTTAGCCTGGAAGGGGAGCATCACTTACAGCTGGGGACCTTTATGCATCCTCAGGCACCCGGCCCAAAACAGGTGGATTCTCAGACCTCCACCCTCCATCTTCTTCTGGAGCTGAGGCTTGAGTTGCCTTCACTCTCCCTGGTTCCAAGGTCAGCTGGCTTAGCAATGGCCCCTTTCCTGTGTCCTTTCTGTGGGGATCAGTTAGTCCCAGACATCCTGTGCCTCCTTCCAGTCACTTAGTCCTCTCCCAATGATCCCACTGGGCAGTTGGGGAAAGGACTTCTCAGGTATCTGACTGGACTCCAGCCTGTTCCTGACCTGGCTCACCAAACACTGGTGCTACTTGTCCTTGCCTTTCAGTTGAGTAAAATAACTTCCCCGCCCCCAAAATATTCCAAAGCTATTTCTCCTTGCTCTTCCCTCTCCCCCTGCTCTAGGTCAGGAGAGAATCTCACCTGCAGCAAATCTTCTGTCCCCATAGCACTCTGTCCAGGCTGTCTTCAAATCTGTTTTCCTCTGTCAGAGTTTGTGCTGAGTGTGTCTGACCTCCTGCTCTAACACTAGGTGGCAGCTGAATGACGTGACTGGCTGCTCCCGTTCCCGTCTAGGTGAGCACTGTTCTCAGTTCTTTATTTTCCTATTCCATTGGATTCTTACACTTTAATTAACCCCCCCCATTGGCAACTTTGGGCGTAAACAGCTTAAATCACAAATCCAAGTCCACAGCTAGTTTGAAGCAGGACACAGCATTCTTAATGATTTGCTAGAACTAGCAATTGTATTGGAGTTGACATTTTATAAAACACTTTAATAGGCTGGGAGTGTATCTCAGCAGTTGGGGCATTGCCTACCATGCCCTAGGTTCAATTTCTAGCACCTTGGACAAAAATAACAAGGAATGCACACAGGCAAACACAGATGCACACACACACACACACACACACACACACACACACACACACAAAGTAGGGGAGGGTGTCAGCTAAAATAACTGTTAGGCCCAGAGAACACAGAACCATCTTCTGAAATTTTCATGGGTACGGCTTTTTCTCCCTTTCCCCCATCTCACTTCTGCCCCTTCTCCTTCCAGGAGGGGTCAGAAAGTGCAGCTGGCTGTCTGTGTGAGGAAGAACAAGGAATGGAAACAAATCACTGTCCCCACCTACAGAGCCAATCCAAAATGAGCTAAATTAGGAAGGGGAGAGAAAATGCAGTGTAAATGAACAGGAAATCCCAATCACATGATGGCACAGCCATCTTGAACCTTAAACTAAGTCTTCAGGGTTATGGTTTAAACTCATGCAAGATGGTTGACTTCCTATGAGTAACTGGAGAAGCAAGAATTGACCTATGTTCCATCCAAGGTCAACAGAAAAGGGTATTGGGGAAAGAAAAGAAATAAAATAGCTACTTTCTGGTATAGAAAGTAATTCTGTGAGAGAAAGACAGGAAAGTTTGGTTGGATGATGACAAATCAGAAGACACCATAAACAAGAGTCACATTAATCCCATTTCCTGCCCCTGAGATTCTAAGAGAAAAGAAAATTCACAAAGCATGTATGCAGACGTCAGTGTAGTAGTATGATCCACAGAAAAAAAGAATTACAAAAAAACCAAAAACTAAAGCTAAAACAAAGTGCATGGTGGCATTGCCTGTAATTCTGGCTGCATGAGGATGGTGAGCACCTCCTCAAACAAAAATAAAAACCCACAAGTGGATGCTGAAATTTAAGATGATGTAATGTATAAACTACTAATGAATGGTTGATATACCTCAGCATGGTGGTTGTTAAATAGATCCCTCCTCCTATATGGTGTGTGTGTGTGTGCGTGTGTGTGTGTGTGCGTGCTGGTTTGAATGATATGTGTGTTTGGTCTGTGTGTATGTGCAGTGTTTGTGGTTTGATGTGTGTACAGTGTATGTGTGTGTGTGTGTAATGTATATGTGGTATGTGTGGTGTATGTGTGTGTGTAGTGCATGTGCATTTGTGGTGTATTGTGGTGCATGTGTGTGTGTGGCATATGTGTGTTTGTGGTGTATATATGTGTGTGATGTATGTGTGTGTGATGTATGTATGGTGTGTGTGATGTATGTGTAGTGTGATGTGTGTGGTGTATGTGTGTGTGATGTTTGTGTAGTGTGATGTGTGTGTGGTATATGTGTAGTGTGATGTGTATGTGGTGTGTGTATGTGTGTGTGATGTATGTGTAGTGTGATGTGGGGGGGGGAATTGTGTGTGATGTTTGTGTAGTGTGATGTGTGTGTGGTGTATGTGTGTGTGATGTGTGTGTGGTGTGTGTGTGTGTGATGTATGTGTGGTGTGCATGTGGTGTATGTGTGTGTGATGTATGTGTGGTGTGCATGTGGTGTATGTGTGTGTGATGTATGTGTGGTGTGCATGTGATGTATGTGTGATGTGTGTGATGTGTGTGTGTGATGTATGTGTGTGGTATGTATGTAGCAAGACAGAAGCTCTAAGAAACACCGGCATTCTGAGTGCCACGGAAATGGAAGTTTCATGAAGCGATGCTAAGATTTGGTCTGTAGAATGGCCTCTGGTATATTTCATTTTGGCCTAGTCTTGTCTGCATCTTTAACAATGTGCAAACAGGACGCACTTCACACCTTCCAAACAGGTTGCCAGTCTTGAAATGAAGAAGCTTTGGTCATCCTGTCCTGAAAGGTAATTGTGCTCAGGAGAAGTCTCTCTTCAGTGTGGAATTCTCCCTTTTCCACTGTCCTCTTCTCACCCAGAGTGGTCAGACTTCATCCGTGTGGATGCAAAGCAGTAACTTATACTAAAAAATTTACATTTCCATGGGATTTTCTTATCTTTGTAAATGGTGACTGAACCTAGGGCCTCGGGCATTGTTGGCAGACATGTGTTCCTCCACTGAGCTCCATCCTCAGACCTCCGTGCATGTTAAATAAATCAGACTTGGAGATCCTATTAATAGTCCCTTCAGCTTTGTTTCCTGTTTTGTGAACTGCTATTTCTATGTTCTGTTTTCTTAATGAGTTATCTCTTTCTTACTGGTTTGTTATTTATAAGATTTATTATTTTTGATACAGAATCTACATTTTTTATAGATTAATTTTTTTCACGATTTGAAGAAATACAGATCATCATTAGACAGGGTCTTGTGAAGCATAGACTGTCTTAAATTTCCTTAGCCTCGCAGGTGCTGAGGTCACAGGTGTGAGCTACCATGTCCAGCTGAGGCTTTTACATCTCATCTGTCTTATGTAGAACAATAGTGAGAAGTGTAGCAATTAATTTTTATGTATTTTCCCTGTATGCGTGTCTGTGCATGTCTGGTGCCCAAATAGGGCAGAAGAAGGTGTCGGTCCCCTGGAACTGGAGTTTCAGAGGGTTGTGAGTTGCCGTGTGTGCTGGGAACTAGAACCAGATCCTCTGTGAGACCAGTGAGTGTTCCTAACCACTGAGTCGTCTCTGCAGTCTGAGAAATGTGGCTGTTTCTCACACTAGGCTTTGTGCATTTTAAGGAAACCCTCCCTTCTCTGAGGTCATAAAAGGTTCTTTACAGATTCTTCTACATCTAAAACCTTTAAAAGTTTTGTTTTATATATTCAGTTCCTTATTCAGATTCAGCTTGTATTAGAGTCCCACATCCAAGCCTACTCCTCCTCCCTGGCTGAGAATCTTTTCTCTCTCTCTCTCTCTTCCCTGACCCCTCTTCGTTCCAGACAAAGATAATACTGACCTGTGTGTTTCATGCTCACTGCTGGCCCTAGACGGGCACTTTGTGGGAGTTCCCACCTGTCCCACAGGTTCCTGGACCATTCCGGAGCCTGACGGCAGGGGGCGCTGTGGGGAACAGCGCCGAGTCAGCCGGGCTCTCTGGCACATCCTCTCGCCTCCTCCGGGACTTCCGGCGCCTCTCGTGGGCGCCAGCATGGACCGTAACCCGTCCCCTCCTCCGCCTAGCTGCAATCAGGAGGATGGGGAGGATTTGGCCGGGGGAGACTGCATTGGAAGTACAGTCTACAGCAAGCACTGGCTCTTCGGAGTACTCAGCGGACTCATCCAGGTGGGGAGACTCGCGCAGGCGTCCTCCGAACCAAGGGAGTGGATGGGATGCTGGAGGGTCGGGGTGCCAGTTTCCTAACTCTTCCCGGAACACCGCCACACACATACTTCCCCAGATTTTGCTCTGCAACTCCATTGTCACTTCTGAAATCAATTCCTGTTTCGTGGGCTCTTGTAATGGTGGAGCGCATAGTTTGGAGTCAGACAGCCCTGATCTCCATCCCATGCTGGAAGTGTGATTCGTTAACCCAGGACCTCGATTTCTTTCACAGTTTCTATAAAGTAGGATAACCAGTATTATCATACACACGGTTTTTGTGTAGATTGGGATGATAATGATAGTAGATTGTTTGAAATGGTGTTTATTTTATAGGAGGCTATCAGGTTTTTCTGCGTACTACTTTCCATGCCGCCAATTCCTGGTTTTGTTTTTGTTTTTTTCCGGAGCCAATTTCTACACAGTGACCAAAACAGTATTCCTTTTTATTACTTTTAGAGGGTGTTTCTGTGGCTATAAATGAACGCTTTCTACTACTTAACTGGGGATCCAAGGCTGGTTACCTCAACCTCACTTAACGATACTTAACCTATACTTAAGGATACTTATGTTGTGTTCCGTCACCAGTAGCCTGGTGGCCATCTCCAGTCATGCACCATGCTTTGTAAACTCTTGTACTCACCTCTGAATGCCCGAGTCCTACTCTTCCCATGAGTAGGACTTTTTTCACTTTCCTCTTTTAAGAAAAATGTCTTTCTCCTCCCAGGGATAGGTCAAAGTCCTTCATCTTTCTACCATAGCTCTTCTCACCAGCTCAGCAAAGTCAGCCTTTGCTATTGTGACTGTCTGTTTACATAGCTTTCCTACGCTAATCTTAAATCATTTGAAAACAAAAGTTTATATTATTGTCATTCCTGTTTTTTTTCTTGCAGTGCCTGCAGACAGTATTTCCTCCCAGAATACTGCGTGTGTAGATCATCCAAGGCACTGCAAGGCAGTTTTTAGAAACTGTTTTGCCAGAGGAAGTACTTTAGGGATACTCTTGGAGACATCTAAGTGATATATTGCTTGAAGAACTCTGAGTATTTTAACTGATAATTTTTTCTCTATGTGTCTGAAGATTGTCACACCTGAAAGTGCCAAGTCCGGCTCGGATGATGATGAGCAACAGATGGAGCTCGCTGAGGAAACGGAGAACGAAATCTGCAGAGTCTGGGATATGTCCATGGATGAGGTATGGGGAATCT